GCTTATGCGAGCGACAATGTCCTTGTCGCATAAATTACACTTGTACGGCCGTATGCCGGTGTGCAGGATGAGATGGGAATGCAGTTGCAGATGGTGGCACGGTGTCGGAAGTGGATCGGAGATGGATCTACTCTACCCTGAGTCTGGCCTTGTTCTCGGTGGCAGATGGGCATTCGAAGGGACACTTGTCGGTGTGGGCCAGCTTGTGATCATTGAGAGCGGCGAGAAAATTGAAGCTCTTTGCACAGATGTAGGGCTTCATCTGCTTCCATGTGGCGCTTGAGGGTTCTGAAGGTGGTGTCCGCCTTGTTTTTGGCCGGCAAGTGACTGCGCTGGTGGGAAAGATTCTGAGCTTTTACTACTGCAGTAGACCACAATCCGTAGGGAGCTCTTCATAGTCCACAGACCCTACATCCGGGCTTAGGTTCTGCAATCTAAGGAAGAGCGTCTGGACGCGTCGCACCCGCTCCGAGAACTACGACTACATCGATGGCGACCACATAATTAATTTTACATAGCATAGCTATTTTTTATTACATTTTAATGCACTTATTAGGGCAAAACAAAATTAATACATTTTTTCTTTATATTCATATTCTTATACTACTCCTTTCGTGTTTGCACGAAATGCTGTTTACTCTGCATCTAACGTGCCGAAATATTCCACGTATACGCGAAAACATTTCATTTTAATATAGTTCTCGAATATCCGTTTCGTCTCCGCTTTCGTAGTCCACGATATTAGCCTGGGCGCGGACCGCCCGTGCGGCGCGTATTGAGAGGCAGGGGAACACTCTCAGTGGACAGACTTTTGCTTGTAGACGCGACTGGCTCCTTATTTTTGACAGCAGCAGAGCTTACATTGGCCCGGTGGGGATCATCTAATCGGATAACCTTGGATAGCGGGACAAGGTCATGTGGGTCGTCATCATCTTGAAAAAGGGGGATCAATTTACAAAAACACCTTGCATTGTAAAATGTACTTACCAGTCAAATCGCTGCTGGAGCTGGAGACGGCCTTTCTTTTCGTTTGTTTCTTCTTAAGCTTCGCCAACTCTTCTTCCAGAATGTTTGGATTCTGCCTTAAAAATCGGCGCAACTTCTTTTTGTATCTATGGAAGGAAAGTACGAATAATTATTACATTGCACTGTAAACTTAACTTAACTTGACTTACATAGCTCGGCCTTTGGCGGCCGCTTCTATGTACGGAACCTTGCACTCTTTCGAAAGCTGATGCCATTTATCAGAAATGAATTTTACGCGGTGAATTTTCGAAAGTTGCAGCCAGGTAGGGTCGCTTTTCAGTTCCTTCCGTCTTTCGTTTGTGAACCGATTATAGGCTTTCAATGGTGGTTTGGGGGCTCCTGGGGCAAAGATGCGGCGGCAGTTGAGTTTCTTTATTTTTTGATCTAAAAATAAAATGCAAAATAAAATATTGTTCTAATAATGTTCGGTTCGTACTTACTTAGAACGTCGTCGTCGCTGTCGGAGCTTGAGCTTGAGCTCAATTCCGATTCGGATGATTCAATTCGCTCAGGCGAGTCGTGAACGTCATGGACTCTCTGAAGATGCCTGTCCAGATTCCCTTTCAGAGCGCTCTTATATTGACAGAGCGGGCATTCGAAATTTGTTGCCTTTGGTCCAAATGCACAGCTAAACTGTTTATGTCTTAGTAAGGATTTTTTAATCATTTTTTTCTTGCATTGTTCGCATCTTACGAATCCTAATTCTAGTTCGCTCTAGAAAATATAAATAAGTGAAAATATAAAATATACTTACATATACTTTAATTTACTTACATCGCTGGAAGAACTGCAACTTGAAAAACTGGACGCATGACCATGCACTTCAACCCATCTTTCGAATGTTACGGGCAAGTCTTTGTTCCATGGCCTTTCGTCCCATGGAGGTAAGGTGGAGGTTGTTGGATGGTCTTCATCGCTTGAAGAAGATGAATTCATGTTGTTTAGTTTGGTTTGTTTGTTTGTTTGGTTGTTAACTCTAAACGAAAACCGGCGCCGGCTTGCAGAAAAATGAGTGTGACCAGATAGGCCGATGAGATGATGCCAACTCGGTGGAAAAAGGATGGACGCAAAGTGCTCAAAATGAGCCATTTATAAATGGCTGACTTTGCGGGTAATTTTAAATTTACCTTAAAGTTTGTTCGCTCTAGAAGATATAAACAAATGAAAATAAAATGATATGATATATGATATGTAGCTTGGCAGGTCAATTTAAAAATAAAAAATATATATTTATTTTGTGCTCAATAATTGAGCCGCGCCGCTCATTTAGCTCAACTGAACGGCGTTGACGGCGGCCGGCGACGACGGCGGCCGGCGTCTTCTAGATTTTTCGGCGGCTGATCGCATTTTTTGAGCGGAGCCCATTTTGAAAGCACGTGTCAGAAGTCAAACAACAAACAACGTAAGTATTTACATATATTATTATATATTTATATATTATATATATATATATATTATATATATACGTATAATATATCCTTTTTAATTTAATTTCCTTTCCAGATGTCCATTCATTTCCATATTGGCGGCGCTGGCGGTGGCCGTGGCGGTGGCCGTGGCGGTGGCCGTGGCGGTGGCCGTGGCGGTGGCCGTGGCGGTGGCCGTGGCGGTGGCCGGGGGGGGGGTGGCCGGGCGGTGGCCGGGCGGGGCCGGGCGGTGGCCGTGGCGGTGGCCGGGCGGTGGCCGGGCGGTGGCCGTGGCGGTGGCCGGGCGGTGGCCGGGCGGTGGCCGGGCGGTGGCCGTGGCGGTGGCCGGGGGGGGGGGGGGGGGGGGGTGGCGGTGGCCGTGGCGGTACATATGGCCGCACAAACACGTTGAAAGAAAGGAAAGAACGTAGGCAAGCCATATGCGACCGTGCCTTTATGATGATTATGGCCGCCCACCGTGGCGAAAGAGACGGCATGGCAGTGGAAGGGCGCGCCTTGTTGGAGCGCTTGAGGCAGCATAACGTGCTGCCTCAGGTTTCGGTGGCCCCCCAGCGCGTAAGTATAACCATATATATATTATATATAATTATTATATTTAATATTTTCGCAGGAGGCCCCGGCCCTCACAAATTACAAATTACAGTTTTTTTGGTTGCGTTGCGCCGAAAAGTGCCGGAACACTTGTGGAGGGATGTTCAGCAAGGGTGGGCAAATTATTTCCGATCGTCGTAGCCGCCTTAAGCCGGAACTGGTGGACCAATTATTTTTTTAAAAGAATCAAGACTTATTTTAAGATATAATCTGGAAAATGTACTTTTTTTTTTATATATGAATGGATTTTTTCAAATGATATAAAACTGTTATTTTTTAAATTTTATCATATGCTTTGCAGTTTCCTTGTATTTTGTTTATTTTACAAACATCGTGTTTCCCAAACTCGTGTCTCCAAACTCGTGTTTTTCCACCTCTAGTACAGAAGTTTAACAATATTGAAAGGAAATTTCCTAATTGGGTATAGAAAGTGGCATACTCCACCTGATTCATCTATCTGATACGATGATGTTTTCAGTAAAAGTCCTAGCTAGCTAGTAATATTAAGACTAATATTAAAATCGATGAATAACCATGCATCACAGCTTGTCGTATCCGTCAGTATATTTACGTTATATCGAAATATAAAACTATATTTAATCAATTTCATCAATCTTTTTTTTAAGGTATATTAAAGCACTTTTCAAAATGACCGCCATATTCGATAGCGCAGAAAAAATACTGAATTTGTTATTTGCTAGTAATATTAAATCGAATATCAAAATTGATGAATATGATTTTCATCGGTATATTTACGGTATATTCTGAAAATGAGACGGTATATTTCTGAGGGTCGCACTGCTGCCATCTAGGGTTGGGAAACTCGTAGTGGCCACCATCGTGTTTTCCACAATCGATGGTGGAAAAGCTCGATAGTATGGACAATTTTAAACCTCATTAAACAAAGCCAAAATTTGTGAAAACAAATAATAATACGTTATTTCATACGGTCTTATGTATTAGGTAAATAAAGGTCCATTTCAAAAGGTTAAATAACTTATAATATTTTATATATCAATATTGTTTAATTTGTTTAAAAACAGCAGTTTGTCCACATTGGATGTTTTTAGTAATGTCCTTTTTGCGGAAACTATATCCGCCGCTTTGCTGAACATTGGTTCAGACTTGTGAAAGTTGCGGGAATAAACAGACAGTGCCTCGCTATTTGTTGAAGGCCAACGGTTTCATCTGTAAAATTCTGCAATAATAAATTGTTTTAAAATTACTAATTTTAAACTTTTTAATTGTTGAATTTAATTGTATTTACCTTCCAAAATTCAAGAGGGTCCTGATTTAGATGGCTCTGCTCCATGTAGGTTTTAAGAGCTTTGATAGAATCTACCCTTTTCGAACCAGCTTTGTCAGCGTGTTTGGCTTTTAAAAAACTGAAAAGTAGATCGTTAATGGACGTTTCACATTCTTCTGGAGCATCTGGTGAAATTGGCAGTTTTTCGGGAGATTGACTTTTCAAAGAAGCAAGCTCATTTTCAATTAAAATGACTGCATTTTGTGCTATATTATTAGACCGGAATCCATCTTTTTTAAACCGTGGGTCTAAAATCGTTGCTATTTTGGTCACTGATCGGTTTTCATAGTGGGAATGTCTTGAATTTATTTTTTCCAATAGAAAACTGCATACTTATTTACCTTCTTTAGTTTTTAGTGCCTTTGTTGATTCGAGTAATTCTGTATTTAGCCCGCATATGATTGGAATTATCAGGTATATTGTTACCTCTTTTGCAGAACATTTTGTGGTGGCACTATCAAAATATCCCAGTAGCTCTAGCAGATCTTCCAAAATATAAAATTCATCCGCCGTAAGCATTTCTGGAGCCATTTCACCAGTGAAGCATTCTGCCGGTCGATACTATCGATGGTGAACCGAAACAATCGATGGTTGGCTAATTTTTCAACCATCGATAGTATCGATAGCGCTATCGATTTTTTCCCAACCCTACTGCCATCCCTAGCATTGTTGATTTTTTGACGAAACACGCTTAAATCGGGCAAAATAGTTTTAAATTACAGCTGGATCACTTAAATAGTACATAGCCCCAACACTAGTCTAGTCAACATTAAGTACGATATCCGCGTGTGTTCATCTGCACAGGCCAAAACCAAGACAGGTAAGTCAGCTGATGGCTTAAATTTGGAGACAGCTTACATAATTTTTGGGCCGGAAATTTTTGGTTTTTTTTCCCCAATCAAATGTGCATGCAATTGTGACAATGACATCACTGTTCGATTTTTAGAGCCGCGCAGCATTTGTGTATTTTCGGTTTCACCATTTCGGTTGATTATGCCTGCAATTGCATCAGCTTTGGGGGGACGAATCGTTAATGCCACTGCACCGCACCATCGGCATGGCAAGCAGCTTTGTGGGTTTGGATCCCCAAATAAAACCAACCAGAAACGCATCAGTTTATTTTTGTGAATTAGAATTGATGTTTTATTATTCAGTTTGGGATATCATTATCATGAATATTTACTACCCATTTTAGAAATACTTTAATTTGTGGTTTAGACGGACTACCTCCATGGATCTGGTTATCTTCATTCACTTTGAGAATTCCACTTAATTATCTAATTGAATTGGGTTACACTTCGAAAATGGTTTCCCATTCTTTTTATGTCTTATTTATATTTGTTGTTATTTTTAGGCAAATCTATTTAGTGCATGTGCCCCACATTCGTTTTAAATTAGTGATTTTTGCCCATTCTACTCGTGTTAAAGTTAACTTAAAGCTGCTTATTGTTTGCAGAGCAGAGCTCCTCCTCCTGCTGCTTCTCCTTTGCTCTTTTACGCATTTCAATCACAAAACATTTACATAGTTATAGTATTAACAGTGAGAAACAAATACAGAGGACATTAGATTACAAATTGTTCAACATTTTATACGAAAATATATCATGTAGGTGTGTAGACTTATCGTTGAGAGTGTACTTAAATGCGGCATTTAACTTTTACAATTATTCATTTAATATAAACAAATCTTTCGCTCCCTGCTGATTCTGCTGCTGCTGTTGCTGCTCCTCCTATTCCTATTCAAGAGAGCGCCTGCGTAGCTGACGGCGGACTCCGACAATGGCAGCACTGCTGCGGTCCAGGAGCTCGTTGGAGAGCCGCGCCAGTAGCGGCAGCTCCCGCATGGAGACATTTACCGAGGGCAAGGGGGCCAGCTGCTGCTGCAGCTTCTTGATGGGCGTGGGCGGCTCCTGCTGATGATGCTGGGGCGTAACTGGCAAGCTGGTTGTGTTTGTGATCTTCACCACAACATCGCAGTGGCGCTTGAGGGCCTCGGCTCCCAGGGAGTCGGGCCTCTGCTCGGTTGACTTCAACCTTTCGGTTTGCTGCCGCTTGGCTGACTCCTTGAGCATCATTAGATGATCCAGTTTATCCACCGTGGCCTTCAGTTCGTGCTCCCAGACATCGTTCTGCTGCTGTCCATCGCCGCCCTCGATTGGGCGCACTGCGAGGATTTTCACCTTCTGACGGAGGGCCTCCAGATCGCCTTCGTCGACCGCGCCTCGAAATTCTCTAGCCCCCGTCTCATCGTAGTCGCAAGCATCCTCCTCATCCTCAGTTTCCGCTGTGTTCGCTGGCTGCTTCACCGCCAACGACATTTGACTGCCGGCTATGGAGGGATAGTCGCATTTCTCCAGCTCCATCTGAAAGTCCGGCAGCGAAGGCAACGCACTGGATGTGGGTGTGTTCAGCTCGGCTCCGACACCCGGCTCGCGGGGTCCCGGCGGTGTGGGATAGTCCCCGCGCTGTCTGTGTATATCCTCGCTAATCCTCTCCAGATTACGCAAAGCCGTTGAATAAGTGCTCTTGGCACCGGCCACCTGCTGTTGCAGCTCTTGGATGCGATTCTTTTGCGTCTGCAGCTGATCCTGGCAGACTTGCTTCTCCTCAAAGTAGGGCCGCGACTTGTTGATGCTCCTCCTGAAGCGGTCCTCCAGCTGCTGCAACTTCTGCTCGGTCGCGTGAAAGAGACGCGTGCGTCTCTGGTGCTCGGCATGGCAGTCGGCCTTTTGGGTCTCGGCATCCATCACCTTTTGGGTGGCATGGTTGAGCATCTCCTGCCAGGCGTTGTCGAACTGCCATTCGTGTGAGTTGGACATGAAACGTTGCTCGGCCAGCGCCACCGTTTCCTTGGCCGCTGCATGAATTTCTGGGAGAACGGGGGGAAAATCAAGAGTTAATGATGCGCCGTGTGGCTTCTATTGTGGTGTATCTTCACCATTGGCTCGCTGGAATTTAACCGCTGCCCGCTGGCATTCGATCTGCGCCTCGCGTGCCTTGTCCAAAGCTTCATGGTAGGGACGAGCCTTCTCGATGCAGCTGCCCAGCTTCTTGGAGGAGAGCTTCAGGCGGCGTGTCGACTCGTTCAACAAAATGCGAAACGTGGAATTGGCCTCCTGTGGATACCAGAGCATGAGTAAAGGAATCTCTAGGCTGTTGGCCATTCTCCACTTACCTCCAATTCGATTTCCAGCTTGTTTATCTCATCCGTAGCACTATTGAGATTCTCCAGTTCAATCTGTGGATAGAATAGACAAAGAAAAAGGCATTAAATGTCTGTATTTTCCCTTATTTTCAGTAATTGCGCTAATCTCCTGCCCGTGGGACCTCCTCAAAGATGCCCCAATCGAAACAACGCGGCGGGGCCGCGTCCTCCAAGGATTCGAAATACGATCTGGGTAAAATTTCGGCACGCGTTGATCGCGTTAATGTCAGCGGCTTGCTGCGTACCCACAACGACTATGTGATGAGGGCAGCGGACGGACTCTTCAAGGCGGACAATTTCCAGGACCTCATGCTGGAGGCCATGTCCACCAAGTCCTATCTGCACGAGCTGGGCATCTTCAAGGATGTGAGCGTGCACATCGATGTCAGTCGCGGTGCCGATGCCTCGCCCCAAGGCTATGAGGTCACCTTCAAGGGCCACGAGTACTCCCGCCTGATGGGCTCAGCGGGCACGGAGGTGGGCCAAAACGAGGGCTCCCTGCGCACAGAGCTGACCATCCCCAACATCCTGGGGCGGGGCGAGAGCATCTCCCTGCAGGGCAGCTACAGCAACACCAGGGCCAACGACTTGCAACTTAAGTTCTGGAAACCCTTCTTCCACACCCGCTTTCGCGAGAATCGACCCGAGTAAGGAACAACACAGCCTCCTCCCCCTCTTGTGCAGCGAAATTTAATTCTCAATCTTTACAGATTCTCGTTCAGCATATTCAGGCAAACGGATCGCTTCGACATTAGCTCCTTTCAATCCACAAATCTTGGCTACCTCATTGACTTTTCGGCCCACAGCAGCCTGGGAGTGGATGTAAGGCACAAAGAACTCTCAGGAGTGGAGTATCAACTCGATGTAATGAAGGTTCTTTCTATACATCTATTCCGTTAGCTAACTCACTCGCTGCAGTACGAGAACTCGATCAGAAACGTGGGCCTGCTGAACAAATCCGTGCCATTTGGCATTCGGGAGCATTGCGGACCCAAACTGGCCTCGTTGGTGCGTTACTCGGTGGTGTTTGACAATCGGGATGCCAATGTCTTTGCCACACGCGGCATTCTGCTGAAATCCACCAACGAGTACTGCGGTCTGGGTGGCAACGTCGCCTACAAAAGCAGCACAGTTCACGGCGAGGTGAATGTGCCGCTCTTCTCTAAATTTGTGGCACAGTTCTGTGGACGCGTGGGCATTGTCAAGGAGACCAAACAGACCACCTTGCTGCCCATTGGTTCGCTCTTCTATTGCGGTGGACCCATGACATTGCGCGGATTCAAATACGGCGGAGCTGGACCCGTGGTCGATGGCACACCGATTGGGGCGCAGACCTACTGGTGCACGGGGGCGCATCTGTGGGCGCCACTGCCGTTTGCCGGCGTCTTCAAGAGCCTGGCCAGCAACTTTAGAATGCATTTCTTTTACAACATTGGAAACACCAACACTTTTAGCTTTGGTAAGTTCCTGCCTGGCTGCCTGCCCGCTCCCCTCCTCATTTCTTTGGAAATCTTTTAATCTCTTTGTCCGTTTCTCGTTTTCAGAGAATATGCGTACCGCGTATGGCATTGGACTGGCCTTCAAGTTCGCCGATCGGGCACGCATCGAACTAAACTACTGCATCCCAGTGCGTCGCCAGGCCACCGACCGGATACTCAATGGCTTCCAGTTTGGCATCGGCTACGAGTTCATCTAAAAATTGTTCCTTCAACAAATCAAATTACTGGCACTGGATGTAGTGTTCCCCCCCTCCCACAGCAGAAAGCCCATGAGAATCGCTAAAAAAAAAAACACCTGCCACAAAATGTAGCTTGTCCTGTTCTGTATTTTTTTGTCAATGCATTTTTTTCCTCTAACAAATTAATTTGTAGTCCAGCAAACACATTTAAGTAGTTCCTAAGGCGTGTGTACATACGTAAAACGAGTAACGAAAAATATACAAAAATGTTTAAACAATTCTACATTTATTTGTTCAAAAACAAACAAAAAATTTTGTGAATGTCGGTCATGATTTGTCTGAATAGTGAAGAAGACGCTAGGAACATTGAAGTGAACGCATCTTCTCCGTGGAGTGGAACCGAACTGTGGTAATTATATAGCCGCCATGAGAGAATCGAAATTGCACTTTTGAGCATACAATTCCATATAAAAATCTAGGGGCAAATTACAGATCATCGCCCTCCGAAAAATTAATTTAATCGAGCGGTTTTGGTTTCGGATCTGAGCAGGAATTGAACTCGGGACTTATCCAGCAAGCAAACCACAAACTTCTATAAAAAACCCAGATGCTCAACGCTCTGCGCCACGCGAACGTCGTTTATACCTGTATCTAAAAATGAAAATTGAAAGAGGACTTTTGATTCACGGATTCCTATGCAATGGAATCAGTGCTGGCAACTAAGCTCTTTTTTAGCTTTTAAAGGTGATTTTATTCGTATTCGAAAATCATTGTAGATAGGTTGGAGTTTTTTTCTTATGCACGAGAATGTTGCTACGAATTTTTCAACAATTTCTCGTTTGCGATGAAATTGAAGACATTGGGGAAATTGATAATTCAGAGAGAATCAGAGAGTTGCTTAAGTTAATGTAGCCATCGTTAGCCATTAATTATTCTATAGTTAGTTCTTCTAATATTTACATTTACATATATACATGCAGAGGGGAGGGCAGGGCATACATAGGTAGATAGTATGTATAAGTGCATGGATGGGGAAGCGGACATTTTCATGGATCGCTGAACTGCATGCGGTTGGTTACAGTCTTTTTTGTTTTGTTTTGTTTTGGGCTTTTTGTACATTGTAAGTTTTCAGTGTGTTGTTGGACCCACACGGTCCGGTCCACACATTTCGTGGTCGAGAAAACTGGTTTTAATTATAATATTTTTGGTTTGTAGGTTTGCCTCTTTTTACGGCAGCTCTTTTATTGGGCTTGTCCCAGTTTGATTTTTATCGTGTCCGTTGAACATTTCTCCACATCCCGGACATAAACATGAGCCCAGTGCGAGGGCAGGTCTTCTCAACGAGTTGCTGCTCGAGTTGCCGCTGTAATCGTGATTGATTTAAGAGTCGAGACAAAGGCCCAAAGAGGCGAGAGCCCATCATAGCGTATATGTATATGTACCCTCCAAAACGGGTTTTTGTGCCTGTAAACAAACGAAACCAGTTTGGGGGGCATCCGCCACAGATGAAAAGCAGCTCTTGAACTTTCCTGGAATTTGCGATCTCAAGGAACGAGCAGGGAACAAGTGAGCCAGCAGTTTTGTGTCTGGCATCTCCCTAGCAAGTTTTTGGTTAATTAAAAGTTTATTTATTTCCACCCTTCACTTTTACACATTTCCACAAAAAGTGCAACAGCAGCAAGCAGCAACATGCAATGGAAAGAGTTGAGGCGAAGACCTGGAAAAACAAACAAAAACACACCACACAGCAAAGCTCAATAATTAATGCTGTCGTATGCAGCGAGAGGTAGGGGGCACATCCCATTTGCTGGAGGGAAGGTACTGCCTGGTCATGACCTCCCTCCCCACCGCCCTCGGCAACAAATGACGCACAATCATAAGAGTTTTATTGCCATGCAATTTCAATCGTAAATATCGAAACACAATTTTTACCAACCAAGGTAGCCCCGGCTGTGTTTGCATTATGGCAAAAAGAAATATTTGGTTATCCGCAAAAAGAAAACAAATACAAATAAATACCAACTTTGTGGATAAATGAAATGTTGAAATGATGCTGGAAAATATGTACAAATATTTTCGCAACTTTGGCATTAAAAGTAAATACACAAAAAATGGCAAACGGGGGAACTGGACTGTTTAAACATCAATATTAATTCCAAGAACTCAATTCTCGAGCCATATTCCTGGAATATTGCAAATCCATGAATAAATACTTCACGGGTAATTTTTTGGGAAATTTCCTTTTTCAATTATTGATTTTATTATTTGACACAGCTGAAGCACATTTAAAGCTTCCCAAAACAGGGCCAAAATCATGTGGAACAAGGTCCATTCTCGGGGTCTGGGCCCAAAACGTTACCAAATCACGCGATGTGCCGACGTTTTTCGTGCCTTTCATTGTGCAATCTCGTCAGAGTGGCGTTGCCAAAGGGCAGCCCGAAGCGAAGCCCGGCTTGGGCTTGAGTCACAAACACAGAATGTACATGTATAAAGCGAATCATCAAATGCAAAAGGTTACAACCAGGCGCGTCTCGCCTCTTGACTAGAATCGGTAGATGACGTGAGTGCGGCTCGTTAGGCACCCAAACGATTTCGTCAGACTAGAGGCCGCCGCCACCTCCCGTCTCATACCGCAATGAATATTGAGGATAACAAAAGTCAGCAGTCAGTCCTGTGGGGATATACATGTGTACTCGTAGTGTAATGACTATATTTAGGATATTTGCAAACAGTCAGAAGCAATAAATAAAATGGAAAACCGCCACTCATGGGCGGACACACCCAGTTTTAGTAATTGTTGGATCTATTCCTGGAGAGTATTTTACAATTGAAAAGGATAGGACCATAACCTCCCTTTACTTTCCTTTCCTATCCATGTACCTTTTTCAAAGTTTTCCCTTAGGTTATTAGCGCTATGTACACAGTACCCAACCCCACCCGTTTATCGGATATTGAATTAGTATTATATTTGCTTATTCCTTCCCCTTCCACTGGCACTTTCCCTTTTCCATTGCCAACACTCCCTGTTCCGCTCAGCGGTTCGGTTCCACCAGTTCCGCTATGACGACAATTGCCTTTGGTGGCGTGATGCCGTCGTCGGGGCTGCCCTGACCTAACCTGACCTACATACATCCGCTCTCTCCTTCTCTGTATCTACCTCTTCAGCCCTCCCTCTTGGTTGCGACAATATTGCCAAAATGGACATACAATTGGCACTGTAATGGAAATCCATAAAACATTCTACATACATATGTATGTACTATGTAGTACATCGATTCGACTTGCGCAGGGCAAACAAAGGACATTCAACCCAAAAAAGGCAATAAGAGTTCCCGTAGAAGAAGTACTCGAAACAAAACCAGAACAGCACAGGCACTTGGCTAAGAAAGTCGCTCTGCAGGGTTATATAAAGGAAGACCACACCACACGGTGCAGCGAGTGCGTGAATGAATGCCAAGCGACTCGAAACTATACGTACATACGAGTATGCGAGTATATGTACATATGTACATATGTATAATCCAAGTCATAATTAGTTCAAGCTCTAGTACCTCTACATCCACTACGTCCACTCTCCAAGCGTTATGTCAACTTTTGGTGGAGGGGAACTTTCAAAATGCTGAATTAAACAAAGAATTCATGTCGAGTGGAGGTTGGAGGTTGGGCTGGGGAATGACCCACTTTGTATGGAAACTAAAATGTTTATACAAATTCATTTCAATTGCCGAAACGTTCTGGTACTACTCTCTCCCTCGTTCTCCTTCCAAAGCCAAGTTCAAAGTTCAAATAAAGGCAATTGGAGTGCAATTTTGATATATTCATTCGTTTATTAACACAGTTCATGAGCCTTTTTGGCTGATAAGATTGCCTCTCATAGCGACATGCTCTTCCCATTGCTGATTCGATAACACAGGAAGTGGCCATTGTAGTGCATAATAATAGTTGTTACATACTGAATGCCATTAACAATTCCAATTCAAAGACAACGAACCACAAACGAAACAAATCAAAATGTAAATGAATTCATTAAACCTGCAAATCAGAGAAAAAATAGTGTGCCTCTCACTATCTTTCTCTCTTTCAGTTATGCATCATTGATGATAATAAAGGTAAAGGCCCCCCAGGGGCACTGCACTGCTTTCATTTAAAGGTTCAACAAGGTTCAAAGTGGAAAATCAGTGGGAGGACAGAATATCGTTTATTTAAGCAAGTGCAAGTGCAAATCTTTTTTATTTTAATAAGCTTCCTACAGTTGTTTTGTGTGTTTTTTTTTTCTTTATAAATAAACCCAAAACGACATCGTCTTGTTTTGTCGGACGATCAGAATCAACTCGGACCGCAATCACTCACAGGGTAGCGTGGCCGAGCGGTCTAAGGCGCTGGTTTAAGGCACCAGTCTCCTCGGAGGCGTGGGTTCGAATCCCACCGCTGCCACATTGAGAATAATCTTTTTTAAGCATATTTTTATTGGGAATATTATTTCATTTATACCTAATCACTTATTAAGGGAGTTTAATATTATTATTTCTATATTTGACAGTGAAATTTCTTTCTTGGTTTTAATTTTTTAAGAGCGTTTAGCTTTTACTTCATTAAGTAGTTTTAGTCAGTGAATTGTTTCCATATAAAAATGAGTTTACATAACATTTAATTTAAGCCACGTTAACTCACACAGGTGACTCATGTTATTGGACATGGTTTAGTCATTATTACTTTAAATCGAGTTCTCTAAATCGTAATGAAAGCAATTACATTAATAGATGGATTTTTAGAGGAAAATATAGAAAATACTATGTATATCGTCTAAGAATTCTGCATTTAATGTAGTTTTTTTCTTTCTTTTCATATTCCTCACATTTGTGGAATCCAATTCTGGAGCACCTCCTAATGTCGTATATGTATATTTTGACGTTGACTCACTTCTGATTCATTGTCCCCTCAGTGGGGTGGCGTTCTCTAGCCTACCAAAATTCCCCCTGGAAGCACCTTTCTTTCTCTCACCTTTCTTGCGCAACCGACACCCAGAAATCCAAACATTGTTAGTCATTAGGCATTGAACTTTATCAGTTGAAGCCATGGATAAAGTTTCCTTTGCTAATCGAATTACCCAATATTATCAACTGGGACAAGGCTGAGAGATAATTTATAATTTTCTTCAAAGTTTTTCCCACCAGTTTTCTCTCCAAAAGAAAGACAGCTAACTCCCCTCCCTCCCTGCATTGGTCTATGAAAACAATTATCGTATAATCGATAAGTGCCAGATAATTATACAACCCATGACGATGAAAGTTTTGGGCAAAGCAAACGAGCAGAAAAACTCCCCCCGGCACGCAAATGATATTAATACTTTCAAGACCTGACGCGTGTGGGATTTTCAACAGAAATAAAAACAAAGACAAATACTCGCTAGTTTTGGGAGAAAATAAATACAGAAACAGCTGTCGAGGAGACACACGCATTGAAATTAAATAGACTTTGGGCCCCCGCCACCCTAATCTTTTCATTGTCTATTCCTTTGTCGTCATCAAGTTTCGTCTGATAACAGAATTTGCACGCGCAAAGAACAAGAATCCATTGATAAATCATTGACAATAGAGAACAGAGAAAGGAAAAAACAGCCGAAGCTTGTCTAAAGAGGAAGTCGAGCATAAAGCATTGAAAAATCGGCAAAAAAAAATACCTGGCAAAAAGCAAGATGTTTTTGCGTGTTTGGTAATATATTTTTTTGTATAGATGAGAGAGCTCACACTAACCGGTTTCCCATTCTGGTGTACTAAAGCGAAACAAATTTTGTTTAGAGTAGAACCTTATCTCGCTATGTATCTCTCTCTCTTACTTTTTACCTCTGATTCCCGCTTTCGCATTGTATATTTTTGCACACACAATATTTATAGACATTAACATTATCGAGTGTTTCAATCAAGTCACATGCTCAGAACCAAACAAATGTGGTAAATGGTTTTTACGCCGCGTGTGACGTCTCCCGCTAGGTTTTCGGGTTTTAAAAATAGACAAACGAAGGTCTAGTGCGATCCATTTTATTCAAACGGGGAATATCTGGATATTCATATTCACATTCACATTCATCTCCTCCTTTAATGCCCATTAAGCGACTAGAAATTCGCAAATTATTTCGCGTAGTTGAACAAGTAACAAAATAAATCTTAATTTATGCAAAATGCGCTGGGGGCGATACAAACGACCGCACCAGAGACGCAACACACTTTGTATTGTGTTATTGTGTATGTCTCTCTCGTCTTGGATTGCCTCACACAACCCCACAAAAGTGAACCTGAAACCAGACAAGTTTCGACTGTAAAACACCCTCTCTAAAATGATTTCGTTTAAGCCGTTTAAATTTAGAAGCTGCCATTCTGCTGTAATATGTTCAAACATAATATACACTTCTTCCTTACGAGTACAGGGTATGTTGTTTGGGCTTGCGTGTGCGCTTCGGTATTTCCATTTATTAATTTTGCATTCAGCCACCAGGCAGCCTCTCCCGAAAATCAGAAACAGCGATAGAGAGGCAGCGAGAGGGCAATAGCTGCACTTGAATCTGTTTTAGGTACAACGACTGGAGAGGAAAATTCCCAAATTACGCAGGGAAGAACGTATAATCCCATTACCGGGAAGTGAGACAGCGTGGAGAGGAGGAGATCGAAATGAAACAAACACTTGACCCTGAGGCTCTTTATGAGTGTTGTGTGTGTTGGAGAGTTGCAATTCCTGTAGCATTTTTTCACAATGAATATTGAAACGCTTTTCGCCGGGAAAGGAAACTTGCAATTTGTTAAAGCGCTTGGCTTGGGAAATTGATTTCTGCTGTGTGATTGTGGCTGAAAGCCAGCAGAGCGTAAAAAAGGTTGCACGCAATAAAAATAGCAAACGAAATGGAATGCAAAACACAACGGTGCTTTCCTGTAAAGAGTCTGTCAAAGCCAATTAAAAGAGAGCAGTGAGAGAGACAAAGAAAGAGGGGGAGAGAACTAACAAATAGTAGGAACAACATTTACAGCAAACACAAAAACAAACCAACGTGCCAAGGCAGCGTTTTTCATATGTACATATGTATGTATGTATAATATACATTGTATATTGTATCTGGCTGAAACGCCTGGCACTGCCTAGTACGGTGTCCGTCCATATCTGAGGGCCACAGGGGGTACACAGAGAGAGAAGTGGAAGAAGAACCCCCAACCCCACTCACCTGAATTTGCGGGTCCAGCTCGCTTTCTTCAGTATTCGACATATTTGCGTTTATTTGCTGCTGCCTGCTGCCAATCCCCAGGAGAATGTCAATTGAGTTAGTTTTCACTTTTTTGTCGGGCCACTTTTCAATTTATTTCCAGTTGCATTTGCATTTGCATTTTCACTTGCATTTCGCTCAACTTGATCTTGTTGTTTGCCCCACTCACTCTCCTTCGTCAAGCAAATTGTTAATTTTCCTCAAAGCGCAAGTGGCTGCATGTGTGTGTAAGTGTGTGCTGGTGTTTGGTTGTTAATATTATGTAAATAGGCCTGCGGCTGCCTCTATTGCTGTTTAACTCGCAAATTTTGTTATGAGAAAACAATATTATAGCATTTTATGCTGTCTCTCACGCCACCAATGAAAAAGTTACGGACACAGGGCACACGCGCAGCTTCTATCGACTTTTGACTACTTTAAACATGGACAAATTACACGTAAACATAAACAAAGCACACTGCTGGTCCACCTTCTGCCCTATAATAATTATATTTGTGTTTTAAATGCTAAACCCTAGGGAAGTGAGACGCGTCCGACCGCGTAGAGGTGTCAAACCATCGGGGGCACTATCGATAGTATCGATATTTTACTGATGGCCTCTACTATCGACAGTTTTGAGACTATCATGATAGTATCGAGCTACAGTCGTTGCGCTTTTAATATGTTTGGATTGTCTGCTATAAGATACGAAGACACATTTGTAAACAAATCGACAGGTGGCATCTAATTTTTACAATGGACAAGTTCCTTAAAGGTTTCAATGGTTTTTTAATAATTATTAGAGCTATCACGATAGTATCGATTGTTTTTTCAAAACATTCAACGTTGATATTTCTCGATTTTGATATTCCGTTTAATATTACTAGCTAGCTGGGACTCTCAGCCCTAAACAAATAATTTTATCCAATTCCTCAATGAATTTTGTTTAGGATTGGTTAGTTTTTAGAAGTCCTTTTTATTGGAATATTTACATATTAAAGTTAAAACAAAAACAACATAAAACTAATGTGTCATCGTTTTGTGGCGCTGGCAGACTCGTGATATTTTGTGATATGAAATTCGTCAATTTTGATATTCAGTTTAATATTACTATATAGATGGCCCTCTCAGCACTAAAAAAATAGTTTTATTCAATTCCTCAATGAATATTGTTTAGGATTGGCTAGTTTTCAGAACTATTTTTCATTGGATTGTTTACATATTAAGTTTCAAACAAAAGCGGCTAAAGCATAAAACGTAAATTTTGACTAAATGTGACGTCAGTGTTGCTGGTCAACCAAGTTTCTTGTATACGTACATATGTACTTTTGTATAATACCTTATTTCTTTTAATTGATGTTAAATGTTTTGTTCCAAGCTCCATTGAAACATTATTTATGATTTTATCATAGATTGACATGTTTTTAACCTCTTAATGAATATATTTGTGTTTTATATATACATTTATCCCAGTTCTGATACCTATTATTGGAAACCGTGAGCTGCAACACTTTTTTAATATCTTTAGAACAGAGACTGAGTAGTTTTTGCATTAATTGGAGCCTGAAAATTCAAACAATATCTCTATTCTATAATATTCATTTTCTCAAAGTATGTAGATTGTTTCTCATTCAGTGTCAAAGTTGCACAACAATGCTGCTAATTAATTTCCCTATGTAAAATGTTCCGTTACATGTGGCTCACACCACGAACAAGAGCAAATTTCACCACGAAAAAGAGAGCAAATTTTGAAAAACCACCACGATTTGCGAACGAATAAAGTGACCAAGTCGAAAATACCATTATATACCAGGAAGTTGTTCAAAAATACCAGTATATACCATGATAAAATAAAATATTTTTTCCCCCACTATCGAGTAAATCATCATGGGTATTCCTGAAACTGACTATAATTATAAAAATGTTTAAATTTTGTGAATCTCTTAAAATCTCTCACAGCAATAAAACACGTTTATATCGACAACCATACAGAGCCTGCATATTTGGAATAAGAAAATGTAACAAACTTAAAGGTCGATTTGTCCAATTACCCGTGCACCTTTCGTATTTTAGGGAGTGCCCTTACTCTGATTAATCAATTCAAGTGGCCAACAAAATGTTAACAAAACAAAAACTGCAATCCTCTTTGGGTTTGCTGAAAAAGTACGAATGGCTTTTAAACTCCTACGTTCTGGTAAGTGAATTGTTAGAATCTTGTACAGTTATTAATTGAGACTCCCCACCCCAATAGGACTTTTATGTGGATGACCATTGGAGCAAGTTGCCGGCTAGTTGGCAGCATCGTCTGCAAAGCATTCCCCTGGAAACGTTTGAGGCGCTACTCCACAGCGATGACAGTAAAAGTGCTCCCAAAAATAGTATAGTATGGCCGCTGGAGTTGTTGGCGTTGCGAGCAGCCCTAAGAAATCTCTGCATTAGCCGGACACAGGAGAATCATCCCAAAGTTGGTAAACTCTAGCCACAGCCTGTGTAGGGTCTTGTCGTTAATCATTTAATCACATGCAGGAATCGGTTCCTTGTCCGTTGCTGCATCATCACAGGCTGAAGCACCTGTTCATGAAACGTGTGAAGCCCAAGAAGCAACATGAAATCACCCGAATGGCTGAGATTTGTGCTTACAGCTGCCGGACGACTCCAGTGGACTTTGTTGTCGATTTCGGAGCAGGAGTTGGACACCTGGCGCGCATTCTGGGCTATGGATTTGGCATACAAGTCTGCTGTTTCGAGATGCAGCCCGAGCTGAATCAGCAAGCAGTGGCCATTGATAGGAAACTAGAAACGATTGCAGCCAAGCTCACGGAAGCCAGCGGCTACAAGCGGCCCGTTCATCTTACTCAGCGTCTGGAGAGCAACACGCAACCGGAGCAATTCATAGCAGGGATACGTGATGCCCTGCAACTGGCAGACAATGACTTCCGATTTGGCATCATAGGCCTGCATCCGTGTGGGAATCTGGGGCCGACGCTGATGCGAATGTTTCTTGGGTGCACGCAGGCCAAGTTCCTGAACTTCGTGGGCTGCTGCTACCAGAAGATGACCACCCCAACAACGCATCCCCGCGTGGAGGTGCATGGCTATCCTTTGAGCTCGTTTTTGCAGGGCAAACGAGATACAGATACGCAGCTCAGCTACGAGGCTAGGGAGATTTCTTGCCATGCCATGGAGGTGTACCGTGACCGCCTACAGGCTGCTGAATATGACTATCTGAAAATACACTCGTTTCGGGCCGCCGCCGAACGCATTATTGTCCAGCAGTATCCACATCTGCGGCACTGTGCGCTCCGCAACGTCAAACATGCCCCTGGCATGTCGTTCGACGAGTAAGTGATACACCCAACGCATTGTTATCTCAATAACATGATATCCAGATGGTCTGGTCTGTAGCTATTTCCAGAAAGCCGTGCAGGGAACTCGATTTGAAATGCTAAATCGACAGGTTCTGAGTATTGAGCAATGCAGTGCAGACGTACAGCACTGGCAGCGGCTCGTAATCTTCTACACGCTTCGTCTGATGCTTGCGCCACTCGTGGAAAGCATTATCCTCTACGATCGTGCTCTGTTTCTGTCCGAGAATGGTATTCTTGGAAACATTTTGATTTTTATGAGATTCCCTTACAAGCAAATTCCTTCTTGCAGATTGCCAGGTGGAGCTTCAGGCTATCTTCGATCCCCGCCTATCGCCGAGAAACCACATAACCAGGGCTGTGAAAACCAGAGACGGCAGTAATCTGTCTCAGCAATAAATAAACCGCAGACCTCAGGCCTAAAGTGGGCTTATCTTGAAGAGTTAAAGTTGTTTTTTATACGCTTTTATTACAATAAAGATAAAGATATTATCATATGTCAGATACACTAAGTACTTAAAGTCTGCCTAGATCGTTGAACGGATACAGATTGATGTTGCTTCAGGTTTTCGGGGAGGGGCCTTGCTGAATTGCTGTCTAGTTGTAGTAGCCCTTCTCGGCGGCTGCCTCCACAATGGCGCGTATGGCGGTGAGGGCCTCGCTGGCCGTTGGCTGTATCTCCACGGCGGGGAGTATGAAGAGGTCCTGGCTGTCGGGTGGACCGCGCAGCTCGAATGTATAGGCAATGGGTATGCCCGCCTCGGCATGGGCCCAGTCCATGCTGCCACCGCTCGAGGGATAGATTGTCTCGTAGAGACTCCCGCTGACATAGTCGCGGCCACTCTCGGCCTTGATGGCGGCCGCCGCCTTCTTGCCAAACTCCTGCAGATCGTCGTAGTTGGACACACGCTCCTTGGTGTATCCGTACGGGAACATGAGCATCTGCGAGTACGAATGCAGTGCGATGTACGTTGTGATTTGCTCCTTCTTGACGTTGCTGCGTATGAACTGGAGCAGGCACTGCGTCTCCAGCTCGCTGCCGGCAGAGGGACCGGCAAAGTCATAGCGCGTCGGGTCACTGCTGGAGCCGGTGGAGTTCCAGTGATCGGGATAGTTGCGGTTCAGGTCAACGCCGCGGCAGGTGCCGAACAATTGACGATTCTTGCGCCACATGCGGTCATGCTCGAAGGTGTACTTGTAGCCGTCGGGATTCACGCACGGAAATATGATCCAGTTGTAGTTCTTGGCCAGCTTCTGCACGCCAGCGTCCTGCGAGGTGAGCAGCTCATTGATGATGTACGTCGCTGTGGCCGGTGCAATCCATTCGCGCGCATGAATGCCGCTCTCAATGAAGATGGCCTTGTTGTCCGGATTGCTCGACAGCTTCACCCCCTTAATGGCGTGGCCCTGGGTGCTTGTGCCCATGTCGAGCACGGTCAACAGATCGGGATACTGCTTCGCCATCTTATCCATCCAACCGTAGATGGTCTTCAGGTGGAAGAAATGCTGCCAGTCGTACTGCGCGGCATCTATGCTCTCGGGCTGCACCTCGCCCATATTGCGATCGATCTTTTCCTGAAAGTTGTACGTCTGCAAGTAGCCCAAATGTAATCAATGTATAACGAAGAGATCCAACCGTAATGCCATACCAGAACACGATGCTTCAACTTGTAGGTCTTTAGCAGATCGGCAAAGTCTGCCACACGATGCGCAGCCACAAGAATGGACAACTTCTGGCCAATCTCGCGGGCATGGCCGATGAATGTGAGGCTGTCGCTCTGTTCCTCCAGCTTCTGGAACAGCTCGATCTGCTCCTGGTTGTCAAATTGCACATTGTAGATGCGATAATGGTCGTAGCGGGCCTGATCCGCCGGAGGCAGTATGCCAGCGTCCAACAGGCACTTTCCGTCGCCGCTTTCCAGTTTAATACCACTCGCTGCCATCGTCAGAATCGGAATGACTAACAACCGCGCGCCGACTTGCCATGTTAGCATATTTATAATATTATTTCTGTTTTCCCCCCTCCTCGGGCCGTGGACTAGTTCGCCCATGAGCGTGTGTGCTGGCCAGAGCGAGCGAGCAAGCGAGCAAGCGAGAGGCTCGAGGCCCGCAACCCAGAGAGTTGTTGTGTTTGTTATCAATATGGGCAGTAAACATATGCATGCACATATGTAAGTGATTGTGAGAGTTCGGGTGCGAGTGCGGGTGTGGGAAATCAAGAGAGAGCGTCGCAGATATGTTTCGCGGGTCGGTTGTTTATTGTTTCTTGGAAAATGAGCCACTTAATCCTAGGTACTGCAGATGGTTTCACATTCGTTTTATTCCCCCCTCAGGTAATGTGCAAACTACTTTACTTCTTCTTGCCGCGGCCCAGGGTCAGCGTGGCCAGGTGGCTGCTGCCATTGGAGAGCTGCTGCTTGCGGCGCTGCATCTCCTGGCACTCCTCCTCGAGCCGGCGACGGGCCTCCTCCAGGCTGGCCTTCTCCTCCAGATGCTCCCTCTTGAGGCACTCGAATTTGGTGTGCAGCTCCTTCTCGCTGTCCTTCAGCTCGTTCTCCTTCTGCTTGACGCGCTGCACGAACATTTGACGCACTTCCTCCTCCTTGGCCTGCAGACAGGCCAAGTGATTGGTGCGCTTCGTCTCGAATGTCTGCTGGAAAGATACCGGCTTGTTGTTGCAATCCACATCCACAAAGCCCATCTGCTGCAGGCGCCGCTGGCGGTAGAGCTCGTAGTGGCGCGTATGCGTCAGCTCCCGCAGATCCTCCATGTTGGTGCGTATGAGCATCTCGCGCAGCTTCACAAAGTCACAGTGAGCTTCGTTCTCAATCTGCACCGTGCCCCAGGGATACTGGCGGGCGCGGACCATCTTGCTTCCGACCTTTACGAACTCTGTGCTGCCGACAACAGCGAAGGGAACATGGCTGTTCATCGAGTCGTTCGTCTCGGACACCGTCTCGTCGTCGGTGGGGAATTCGTAGATGTTGACTTTGTTCTCGCGCAGCTCGGCGAGAATCCTAGCCTTGAAGCCGGCCAGCTCCGACTTGGATATGGTGTCGGCCTTGGCAATGACCGGTATAATGTTGACCCTGGTGTCCAGCTGCTTCATGCACACCAGATCCATCGACTTTAGGCCATGTCCGGTCGGACAGATGAAGTAGAGACAGACGTGGACGCGCCCGTCATGGGCGGTGGCCAGCGATCGCTGGATCTTAAGCTCCTCCTGCAAGTAGGACTCGAACTGTGAGTCCACATATTCGACGAGCGCCTTGTACGAGTCCTCCTTGTTAACCTGGTCGCCGTATCCAATCGTGTCGCAAATGGTTAGCTTCAGCCGAACGTTGCTCTCCTGCAGCTCGTAGGTGTGCGCCTTCAACTTGACATTCGGCAGATTGTGGGAGCTGGGCGTCGACCCGAAGCTGGTGTTGAACAGGGTGTCCATCAAGGTTGACTTTCCCAGCGCCGTCTCGCCAATGCACATGATGTTGAAACTGAAGCCATTCTGCACGCTTTTGTTGACCAATTGATCTGGGAGAGTGTCAAAGCCCACATGGCCCCCCAGTGGAAGTTGTCGAGGAACAGCCACCGATGCTTTTTCCGTTGCTACATGCACCATTTCGTTTGTTTTTTGGAACTACTTCTCTTACGATCTGGTCGCTATCCTTTTATATGATTAGATGGCCACTATTCCCGAACAGCAACCCGTCAGACTAATCACCCATCGGGATTCCCAGCATATGCATCTGCTGGGATAATGAGAGTTTAATTCTTCTCTACCTGTCCTGTCTTTAGTTTACCTGCGTTACTTCGAATTCGGATTTTGAGAGCACCAAAATTTTCCCTCCAAAAAGGTTATGTCGAGAGAGAAGAGTTGCATTGCCGATATGCGTGATATCGATGGGGCTACTTTCCACGCCACGCCAATAGTCCATCTCTAGCGCATACAGAATTTGCAACGCCGCAGAAAACAGGAAAAAAGTTAGCCTTCCGTGGTTTATTTACCGACGAATTGCCTAAAGTTAATATATATTTAGGTTTAAAGTGAAAATAGTGGTAAGAACATAATTGGCAAGTCGATTTTCGTTCATTGGGATCTCTGCATGCCTATGAAGAGGTTTTTTCTTTGTCGCTGGCGGCCGCCATTTTTTTTTCGTCATTGTCGGTCTCGTCTTTCTTTTTTTTCGCCAAGCGGGCACTCTGACGGTGCAACTAATTGTTTAATAGTTCAATTCATTACTTAGTTTCCAATTCGCTCTGTTCTTGGCCATCTTGCAGACATAGTCACGAGAAAAAGTTCTCAGGCAGCCCCATTATTGCAAGAGCATAACGCACCCGCTCATGAGTAGTCATAGAGACGGACCCGGAGCTGAACTCGATCGCATCACAGTTAAAATCCACAACATGAAACGTAGCGCCTCGCGCTCCCCAGGCCCTGGACCAGGCCGAGGCAACATGCCTCCCAGGAACTCCAGGAGCATGGGACGTGGCTACGACAACGGCAGCGGAGTGCCGGGCGACTCGCCCGAGCGCATCTCACCGGAGCGCATGCGACGCCGCTTGGATCGTTCGCCGAGTCCACGTGGCCGCTACGGATCGCCGCATCGGGAGCAGTACATGCGTGGGCCTCCGTCTGCCGAACGTCCTGCCGCGTACAAGGTTTTGTGTGTGAGTGCACTTCCCCCCAAGGCACCAGACGAGTTCGTCGAGGAGACGCTGTACCGCGAGTACAAGAAATTCGGGGACTTTAGTGTGCGCATCGCGCACGATCTCGACGAGCGGGTGGCATATGTGTGCTTCCGCACACCCGACGATGCTCGTGAGGCGAAGCATCACAAGCCGCGCCTGATCATCTACGACAAAATGGTGATGGTGGAGCCAGTGTACAAGTCGATACCCCGTCCTGACTACAGGTATGATTCGTTAGCTCTTAGCTGTAGCTACAGCTGTCTCCCGCGAGCAATTACCGATTACCAAATTGACCAATTTACAGACCTCGCGGACACTCTATATCGCCGCCGGACTACGAACGTTATCACTACTCGCGCTCGCCCATGGGGCCAGGCGGTCCCATCGACCACCGCCGGCCTCCGATTGATCCGTACGATCGTTACGGTCCACCACATATGCATCCGCATGCGGTGCATCCACGCGAGTACCGTCCCATGCACCACGAGTATCCTCATCCCCCGCGCGGTCCCCCGATGCACCGTGGCCATCCGCATCATCTGCATGGCCATCCACCGCCCCATCAGTATGCCCCCATGAGGCCCATGGCACCGCGGGCACCGCACGTTCCGTATGAGAAGCCGGAGAGCAAAAAGGACAAGTTTCCCAACTATCTGCACCACGTGCAGCCCGAGGATGATCCGCTCTCGACGCGCACTCTGTTCGCCGGCAACCTGGAGGTGACCATTGCCGACGATGAGCTGCGTCGCATCTTCAGCAAGTACGGCGTGGTCGATGACATCGATATAAAGCGGCCACCGCCTGGCACCGGCAACGCGTTCGCCTTTGTGCGCTACCAGAATCTTGACATGGCTCATCGGGCCAAAATCGAACTATCCGGACAGTACATTGGCAAGTTCCAGTGCAAGATTGGCTACGGCAAAGTGACGCCAGCTACACGCATGTGGATCGGCGGACTGGGTGCCTGGACGTCGGTGACACAGATTGAGCGTGAATTCGACCGCTTCGGTGCCATCAAGAAGATTGAGTATCAAAAGGGCGAGCCCTACGCGTACATACAGTACGAGACGGTGGAGGCAGCCACCGCAGCGGTCAAGGAGATGCGCGGCTTCCCCCTGGGCGGTCCGGAGCGCAGGCTGCGCACTGACTTTGCAGAGCTGCCGGGCGCAACACCAGCGGCACCGTTCAAGACCTCCAAGCCACCATACGATGAGAGTGCACTGGAGTATCGACGCCCAGAGTATGATCCCTACTACGAGGAGGCACCTGTATATGCTCCTCGGGGCGGCTATTCGCCCTATCCGCCGCGTGGCGGTTACCGCGGTCGTGGTGGCTATCGCGGACGTGGTCGCGGCATGTATCACTATCACAATGATGTGCACAGGCCTCCACACCCTGGCTCGCTGGGCGGTGGGCCATCGTCGGTGCCGCCGCCAGGCGGAGTGGATGATGAGTGGCGTCGTCCACCGGGCGAGTCTTACGATCGGACAGCGCGTTCCATTTCACGCGAACCGGGCGTTGAGCGTTCCCGCTCCCGTTCGCCCCTCAAGCGCGGCCGTTCTCCAGGCTCCGACTCGGACACATCGACGCGACGCAACGATGCACTCGGCACTGCCACCACAGTACCAGAAGTGGCACGCAAGTGCGGCACTGTGTGGACGGGAGCCCTGATCCTTAAGAGCTCCCTCTTCCCCGCCAAGTTCCATTTGACAGACGGCGACACGGACATCGTAGAGTCTCTGATGCGGGACGAGGAGGGCAAGCACAACCTACGCATCACCCAGAGACTGCGCCTAGATCCTCCCAAGCTGGATGATGTGCAGAAGCGCATCGCCTCCTCATCGGCGCATGCCATCTTCATGGGTCTGGCCGGATCCACGGTAGACACCAATTGCGATGACACAAGCGTTCAGACGCGCCCACTGCGCAACCTTGTGTCCTACCTTAAGCAAAAGGAGGCGGCTGGTGTGATCTCCTTGCTGAACAAGGAGACGGAGGCGACGGGAGTTTTGTATGCCTTCCCCCCCTGTGACTTTTCCACAGAGCTACTGAAGCGCACGTGCGTCAGCCTCACCGAAGAGGCCCTCAAGGAGGATCATCTCGTCATTGTTGTGGTGCGCGGTGGAACGGCCTAAGTTGGGTGGGGCAGGGATGGGGAGGAGAGCGAAAGTGCTGGACAAACTGCGAGGTAAAAGCTATCCACAGGGCTCTTTGGAGAGATCTCCCCGCCACAATGTAACTATTAAGTAGAGAACCTATTGTAACAAAGAGCCCCCTAAATGGGGGAGACAACATACACGCATGGGTCGTGTATGTGGTGGACACGAGACATCCTAGACATCACACATCCATACACATAAAACACATTCGACTCTCACTTAGCCATAGAAAAATGTAACGCACCCATGCACCCCCCCCTACAGAAGATCCGAAGAATTGAGCAGACATCCCCCATACCCAGTAATAGTACCAGTACCACCACCCCCCTCCCATAACCCATTTAATTAATCAATTATTGTTCTTTTTGCAGTTCTTTGAGAGGCGATCTGTGATCCTTATGGTTCCTTGAAAGCTCTCTCTCGATGTGTTAGTGACAGTGTACAGTTGTTGTGCTAAAAAAAGTTGTGGAACAAAATCCACAGGAAAAGTTCTTTTAATTCCTATCTAAAACTACAGAAGTAATTTTTTTTAATTTGTAATTATATTTGATAAAGTGTCCAATTGCAGAATGAAATGCAAGATATCTATCTATCCCTTGCGAGAAACAATTCAGAAAATGTTCAACGAGTGCAAACAAAAAAGAAAATAGTTTTGTGTTGTTTTTTAAGATTCATCCTTATTTCGAGTTGTGTTCTTTCCGATACCCCATGCTATGCAAAGTTTTAGTTTAAGAACGTAAAACAGTGCGACAAAAAGTGTGCACCCCCCAGTCTGATTTGTCGATGTTTACCAATCGGCCAACAGCAGATTTTGTTTCTGAAGCAGATGGGATGGTCAAGTGTCCTCCGAGTTGATTTCGTTGCACGGTGCTTGGTGATTGGTGCTTGGTGCAGTGCAGCAGTGCAGCAGTTTCCCCCTGTGCAAAAAGTGTATTAAATAAAACAATGATTTGATTTGAATTGTTCCATTGGTGGCCGGCCTGTTGCCTTTTGCCTTGAGCTTCACTCGAATCTCCTTGAGGCTTGCTTGGCTTGGCACTTGCTGTGGTGAGTGAGGTGTGAGGTGTGGTGAATCTTGTGCTGTATTCGGTCCTTTCTGGACCCGGACTTGGACCCTGTTCTCCCGATCCGATCCGATCCCGTTCAGATCCGCCTTCCATCCGAATAGAGAACGTCGTGTAGCATTCGCTCCAAAATGTTTTCGCTGTTTGAATGGGTTTGGCGATTGTTACATTGGTTCTCTTGTGGTTGCTCTCAACAACAAAGGTGGTGTGGTGTGGTGTTTCGATTATTAATTTTACAAAAATACTACATATATGATTTGGCGTTTCTGTGTGTTCAAGTGTCCCATTCCCAGAGCCGGAACAAAATCAATGCTACATATTATATATATACATATAAATATAAATATATAGCTATAGTTAATAGCTTACACAGAAAAAAAAGTGCATGTGTATGTGTATGCGTGCGTTGATACGTATTTATTGAAAAATTCGAAAATTATGTTTAACCGAAATAGATCCTGGAATCTGTACCCTCAGAGATAGTTGTACCGAGCAAATAAAAAACAATAATTCGAGTTGAAAGCAAAGCAAGGTTATGCATATACACAATACCAAAAGGATTAAAGTAACTATGAAAATATTCCCCATGCTATGCTTCAGAAAATGTTACAAAACAATTGTCTATTATACTGATACTTAAATAAAATATAATCGTCAACTATCTATCCCAAATACAATGTCAATGTCAATGTGTTCAAAGTTCTGGTGTTTAAACAAAAAGTGAGTTTTAGTGCGGTGCAACGATCCAATCCAATCCAATCCGATCCGATCCCAGATGGAGGAAGGTAATAAACCATGCCATGGATATGGCACTAATGTTTGATTTAATAACAATGCAAGTTGAATCGTTCAATCGTAATATATGTAAAAGGTTGTGCAGATAGCATAATACGAAGGTTGCTCAACCTTATATGTGACGAATCCATCCTTTTCAGCATCCCACAGGAAGTTGACCATCGAATAGAGGCCCTGCATCAGGCACTCGCCCACAGTGACGAGCACTATATAACGATATCTGTTGGATTATTATTAAATACATGTAGATTAGATTAGGGAGTACGACGATGTGCGACAGATGGTTGTATGGGGATTACCTGTCATAGTTCATTAATTTGATGCGATTTTTAATCTCCTCGCTTATCTGGGCTGCCATGTGCAGCGAGTGCTTTGGGTGGAACAAGTACGCATCGTTGTAGTGCTTGTCCATCACCGTCTTCATGATTATTTCGACCTGCTCCTTGTTCAGGGGATTCTTGGGCTCCAGGCGATAGGTGGGCATAAAGCGCATTGTGGGCTGCCACAGCAGGGAGATATTAGAAGGGGACGGCGACCAGTTTGAGTGGAGCTACCACAACTTACCTTTGGCTGCGGAGCCATGCCCATGGGGCTGAACACGCCCCCAGTGTTGGACTGGCGCTGGCTGCCAGTCTGTCTCTGCATGGTGGTAGAACGAAATAACACGTTAGTTCTGGATTAGACATGTCGACAAACCCAAACCCAAGCCCACGGCACTGCACAACACAACACATCAAAATCTCTATACCTATACATATCCCAAAATGTGATGCCTGCTTTGGCCTGGATATGCGTGACTGGGCCAAATTTCGTCCAGCAAATGCATTTCCATGCTCACATTTCGTTACAAGCATCAATTCATTAAAAAGACATCAAATACCCATGGAATCATAATGGCAAAATCAATCGTGTACCTTCTCACGCTCCTGGCCCAAGCAGAGGGTAACCAGACCCGACCAGTTCTTGGCTGCAGAGTCGGCCATTTCGGTTGAGCGCTTGGCGTGCCGTCAATATTGGAATCGAGTCGAGTACGTCGCGGTTAACCATAAAACCACAAATGATTAGCCATTCCCAGCATGACAAAGTGCCGCATGTCGCCGTAGCAATGTCCCGGAGTCTTTGTTGAATCAATAAATGGCACACAAAATATGCCCCCAATCCGATGTTGTGGATGTGTGCCACTTGGCAGCCGACTGCCGAACTTACCTCTCCCTTGGCCGCCTTGTCCTTGCCCTCCTTGTCCTTGTCTTTTCCCTTGCCAGATTTCTCCTTAGCAGAAGCAGCAGCAGCAGCAGGGGCTGCCGCTTTATCCTCCTCCTTGGCAGCGGGAGCCGCAGGCTCATCCTTGGGTGCTTGCGCGTCTGGCGACTCGGACATTATCCGAGTGGTAAATTTTTTTTTTTTTCTATTTGGAAATAATACTAAAGGGAGATCTTCCCGTTGTGACTACAAATAAATATAAAAGTTGAGAGGAGACACAATCCCAGAGCTGGGATAGCCTGCTAAGATTCGAGGTTATCATAACTTGGGATGATATTCAACTAAAACTGGGTCCGAGCAAGTGAAGAATTCTGATTAATGACGCCTCTGCTCTGCAGTTCCAGCACGGGAATATGGCAAATAAATGATCGAGTTCCAAAGGTAAGGAAGCCAGTTTACATTGAATGTTGATATGCAATGACTACACCAAGCCCAGGCATGAACGCAGCTCCTGCTACCGCCCAATCAAAGATTGCTTCATCCTTGGGGAAGAGTCATTTCCAGATCGCGTTTAGCCTGTAGATACCTGTAAATCTCACTTATGATAGGCCCGATTACAACGGCAAATTTCTTTAAACTTTATTTGGTTTGCAATAATTGGTTGAGGGGGGAGTGTAGGTGGAGTAGGTATCGCGTTTCGTTTGTCGTTAAGTATCGTTTAACATACGAGTATGTATACACAGTCAGTAGAGTAGACGATAACACACACTTTTACATACACATACATATGTATCAAGTTACAAGTTTATCTTAAGTTTTTGTGCTCTAACGGTGGATGGGTAGAGGATATGGTATGCTACAAAACATCGAGTACACGTACACATATATACACACATATTCAAATACATACTTACATTATTCTGACAATATAATTCGGTTAATTACACACATAATAAATTCTCTATAAAACCGGAGGGGAAAACAATAACAGTGCAAGACTCTGGGCCACCTATCCCTATCCTTGTCCTTCGTTTGCGAGTCCAGGACTCCGGGGGGTGGGAGGGCTTAACGAACAGTTGAGCGTTTTTGAAACACTCGTGGCTCTTCGAAGACGAAAACTCAACTTTACATAGATACAAAAAGTCTTGTCGTACAACTACTAAAAATTGGCGATACGATCAAAACGTATGTGTGTTGGTGGAGACAGAGTAAGAGAGAGAGAGGGAGAGAGAGCACAACACTGAGGAACAAGTTCTTAGACATCTAACATTAATGTATTGTACGAAAGTAACCCTTGGGTTTTTATAAAAGATAGTTCTTTGTTTAGATAGCATCGTCCGTGGTGCAAATTTTGGTGCAGACTTATATGTATGTAAATATTGGAAAGTATTACATTTCTCTGTATGTCGTTTGGTTTTTCAGTTTTCAGTTTGCTGGTTTTGGTTTTTTTTTTTGTTTGTTTGTTTCTTTTGATATTTCTTTTCGTACCAAAGTCAGTTTCAGTCGTGTAGTGGACACATATAAGTAAAGCTTTAGTTGCGAACCGGAGCCTGTTTTGGGATTCGTTTCGTTTAGACCGTTTGCAATGTGTTGTGACTCGTAACGTGTACATATACATATGTAGTATAAATATATCCCTTTAGCTGATTATTTTGTACGAGTATGCTATAAATAGTGGACACATATAGGCTGTAATTATATATATATATATATGTATGTATAATCAGTGGGTTTCGTAAAGACAAGTAGTGTTAGGCTGGATTGTTTCTGTGGGCATGCTAAGCTTAGCGATAGATCGGTCGATTCTTTCCGTGTCCTGTTTCTCAATATGCATCTAAAAATGTAGCTTTCGAAATTCAATTGGGTTTCTTTATATTGATTTTTGATGGCACGGTTATTTCATAACGCCACATTTGGTCCAAATTTTAACATTTATAAATCTCGATTTGCCTGCTAGATTTGTCGCCCTAGTCGTTTGAGCGCACTTTGCGCAGAGAGCCGCGATTGAATTTACAAATAGACTCGAGCAGTGCGGAGCGCGTCAGTTCATCGCCCTCGCCTTCAGCGGCTTCAGGATCCTCTGCCAGCATATTTGGAGTGGAGGATTGCCTCTCCACCGATCCAGATGCCGATGTGGATGCGCTGCTAGCAGGTAGCTCCCGCCTGTAGATCGTACCAAAATGTGGGGCCGGTGTAAGCGGTGGGGCTGCGGGGAAGACGAAACAGCACATCAGTGGGGTAAGTATGAGGAGATACAGCAAGCTAATTATAAATTTTAAGGTGTGGACGACAGAGATAACTACATTTGAGGGCGGCCAGAGTGGGTTCTTCAGGAGTGCTGTCAGAGCGGTTGAAGGAGTCTGCCGCGTTTGGCCCACTAGCAGCCAGGGTGCCGGATGAAGCGGTCGCTGCAGTTGCAGTCGCAGCCGCAAGCGACAAGCGTCCGTTGTTCGTTTGCAGTGAACCTTGCTGCTTTAGCTTGGACTGTTTGTGCTCTAGTTTCTAGATATAAGCGTTAAATGTTTCAATAAACGAAAAAGAGAAATCAAAACGTGTTCGTTAAATTGCTGTGAGAGGAAGGAGCTACGTGAGATGCTAGATATGGATAACTAACTGCTTTCTGCTTGGACTTGCGCTTCTCCTCCTCGGAGCTCATCAGCTCCTGCACGCGCACAATCCTCTTCTGGTTCTTCACCGACTTTTGCTCGTTTTGCAGCCGAGTCTCGGTCTTTATGGCTGCCTGTTTCAGCAGCTCTTTGGCGTTTAAGGACAATTTAAAGTGTGGCTTCTCGGTATTAGCCCCGCCAGCAGCAGCTGCCTCACCCGTCGAGGCATATTGTGCAAAGAAACGGTGGCCAATCAGCTGCTCCAGAGATGGGAGGCCAGATTTGCAAGCCTCCTTGGAGAGAATGCTCTCCAGCAAACATTCTGCAAGAGAAATCGTTTAAATAGAGAAGCCACAGCATGGATTGGGATCATCATCTGGGACTCACTTAGCGCCTCGGGGCATTCGGTAATTTGCCGGACCACAGACTCTTGGAGGGGATAGCCCATGGTCATTTCGAACAGGACATGGCCGAAGCAGTACACGTCCACGGTCTCCATGGTATGAATCTTGCTGTGCTGCATGAAGAATGGCCGATAGAAGGCCGGCACGCCCAGCAGTTGATTCTCAATGTCCAACAGCTTGACACAATCGTCCAAAATGACTATATTCCCGGAATGTAGGTGACCTGCAGCAGTGGAAACCATTATATTAGACACCAGACAGGACCAGACAGATCGGTAAGTACTCACCATAGGCATAGCCCTTGGAATGCAAAAATATGAGAGCCTCTAGGATCTGCCTGCCGTAGGTGGCCACTTGCTTCATGGAGAGTGCAGTACGTCCCTTCGGATTGCCGTACTTGCTCAGGAAGGGGTTCTTTGGGTTCGTGGCCATGCACAGCACATCCTTGAGGGTGCCATGCTTGTGGAACCTGAAAGAGAAACAGATCAGCCAAACGTACGCCATTAATCCCATTCTGCAATTTTACTTTCTGATGACAAGACATCCGCTTTCCGTGTGGCCGGCCAGGATAACTGGCTCGATGTGCTGATGCTGGAGTCCCATCAGGCTCTTCAGAATGCCGGTCATCTCCTTCTCCTCGATAAACTTGTCCGGCCCGGCCTCGAGCCATTCGGCCACCATCTCGGCGTTGGGATCATACGAACCACCACCATCCATGGAATGGCCGCTGCCATTGCTGCTGCTGCCGGCCGCGAAATGCTTGCTCTGATGCGTCTGCGAGCCGCTCTTCACCAACTTGTTGCTGCCCTTCTCTGGCGGCTTGGGCGTCACCTTAAAGTAGTGCTTGCGTAGACGCCAGCCTATGGCACCCATTGTGCCACCCAGGGTCCACGCCGAATCGTTGCGCAGACAGAGCACTGCATTCTGCACAGCATGGTCTGTAATGAGTTATTTCAACTGATTATACTGACGGGGCTATTGGGTATAGTGTTACCATGAAATGATTGCGAATAGCTCTCAGGGTCAACGAAGCGCTTCGCTGGCAACGATGATGCCAATATGGGATTCATTAGTACGGCGTTTATGTATACTTGCAGTTCTTGCTTTCGTTGAGCTACGAACTCCGGGCGCATTTTACCGAAGATGCGCTTGCGAGGCAACGGCAACTCAATGCCAGAGATGCGTAGACACTTGTCCAGCTTGTCGAAGTCATTGTAGCGGCGCAGAACGTTCCAGCAGTTTTCTGTTGTCGGCCCCCTCTGCACACGCAGCAAGTACTCCTGCAGGCAGACAGACAGACAGACAGACATGCACATGCACATACATTACGGGATACATACATATTATCATTCGCATGAAATCATCAACAATTATTGATTTTTCTTAGGTGGGCCCCAGGAAAAGTTTTCGCCCTGCTGTTCCACTCACCGTATGCCCGTCGACCTCCTCGACTGTGGTTATCTCGCAGCTCAGCGCTTGGGTATCATCAATTGGCAATTTTCGTTCATATCTGCTCGCAAAAATTGCCATTGGTTGTATCTGGATACATTTTCTTTCTCTTCCAATCTGCTCGGGTCAGGGCAGCCTCTCTACGAAACGATATGTGTGTGTGTGTGTGTGTGTGTATTTAACAGATTGTCGCCACCCTTGATCGATTGCACAATAAAATTACAATAACAATTGGTTCAATTAAACTTTACAATTTAGCACATACACCTTATACACCTATTTCTGATTGTTATTTTCGGAGAAATATCTTTTCACTGTTTACTGTTTCTAATCGTTATGCCAGTGTTGTAAAACGGCCAATGGCGGCGATAAAACTGTGTTACAGACAATCGATAAGTGACGTTGTTGTTTTTATAAATATTAAAAAATAAGCTATCTGCATCCTCAAAAATGGGCATTTCGACGGCTATCCTGCGCAACCAGTTGATGAGCCTGATCAACTTCACCGGCACACACAAGGACCAGGCGGACAAGTACCGCCAGCTTCTGAAGACCGTCCTGTCGAACACCGGACAAGAATTGATCGATGCGTTGAGGCTCTTTGTTGAGGCGATTGTCAATGAACATGTCAGCCTGGTTATCTCGCGCCAGATCCTCAACGACGTGGGCGTGGAGCTGAGCAAGCTGCCCGATGATCTCTCTAAGCAGTTGTCGCACTTCACACTGGAAAAGGTCCATCCACGCGTCATTTCGTTTGAGGAACAGGTTGCCGGCATCCGCTTTCATTTGGCGAACATCTACGAGCGGAACCAGCAGTGGCGCGACGCTGCCACGGTGCTAGTCGGCATACCCTTGGAGACTGGCCAAAAGCAATATTCCACCGAGTGCAAATTGGGCACCTACTTGAAGATAGCCCGACTCTACCTGGAGGACAATGACTCTGTGCAGGCCGAGTTGTTCATTAATCGAGCCTCGCTGCTGCAGGCCGAGACCAACTCCGAGGAACTCCAGGTGCGTATTAACTCTGGACTAGTGCTGGGCGCTTCCCTGACACACACACGCTTCCCTTCTTGCCAGGTGCTGTATAAGGTTTGCTATGCTCGGGTGCTCGACTACCGGCGCAAGTTTATTGAGGCTGCCCAACGCTACAACGAGCTCTCCTACCGCAAAATCGTCGACCAGGGCGAGCGCATGACGGCGCTGAAGAAGGCGCTCATCTGCACCGTCCTGGCCTCGGCCGGACAGCAGCGCTCCCGCATGCTGGCCACACTCTTCAAGGATGAGCGCTGCCAGCACCTGCCCGCCTACGGCATCCTAGAGAAGATGTACTTGGAGCGCATCATTCGACGCTCGGAGCTGCAGGAGTTTGAGGCACTGCTGCAGGAGCACCAGAAGGCAGCCACCCCCGATGGCTCGTCCATTCTGGATCGCGCTGTCTTCGAGCACAACTTGCTGTCGGCCAGCAAGCTGTACAACAACATAACCTTTGAGGAGTTGGGTGCCCTGCTGGACATACCGGCGGCCAAGGCGGAGAAAATCGCATCCCAGATGATCACCGAGGGTCGCATGAACGGGCACATCGACCAGATCTCTGGTATTGTCCATTTCGAGAATCGCGAGCTACTGCCACAATGGGATCGCCAAATCCAATCGCTCTGCTATCAAGTCAATTCCATTATAGAGAAGATCGGCGTCGCCGAGCCCGATTGGCTTGATAAACTGAACTGAAAGAGATTCCTGTTATCTAGCTCTCGCCACTGAAATTCTCCACTTCATCATCATCAAGGTGGAAACACCAAGAAGAATACCCGAACTGAACCCACACCAAACCGAAACCCAATCCATGCAAGCGAAGCATTTCAGAATAATTTCACCTGCGCTGCGATAGATTTCATTTTTAATTTACGAAATAAATGAAATTATGTACATTATCGATCCTGTGGACTCGAGATCCTGTGTGCGATGAAAAAGAAAACCACAGCCAACCACAATTAACTCGCTTTGAATCGTGTTTGTACCATAATCGTAGATAATGTATTTTCAATAATTCGTATAATTCAAAAAGCTCTGTGTACAAAGGACTTGGTTCTTAGACAACTAGTGGAAAGTTTGTTGTATTCAAGAGATATACATACCATACATACACAAATATGTACATGTTACTACAAGTTAATCGGGGGCTATTCATGCAACATCCAACCCATGCCCCACACATCTCCAGTGTGGGGCTCTCCATTTTAACATACTACAGGCTAGGCTACATTTATTCTAATTACGTTTAAACAAATTCAACTAAACAAAATGCACATCATGCCAGTTACTCCAGTATTTTACAATAGCCACACAGACGCCAGGCTTCCGAACAGGATGCAGGTAGGTGGAAGCTACTCTCTTCCAGGCTAATGGCATCCAGGCATAGCCAATGCGTTGGCTTCGAGAGAGCGGTAGGGTAGGGTAGGGTAGGGTAGGATAGGCTTAAAAGAACTTAGAATCTAGCGTACAATCATCCCTGGGTATTGCTAGAGGTCTCCTCGTTCAGCTGCATTTGCGCCAGTGTGCGCACGACCACGCCACGATTGACGGGCGTCAGGCCTTGGCAGAGACCAACCACAGCGTCCAGCGCTACGTCCGGACAGTCCTATTAGATCCAGAGAATGCCATTTAATATCATAATGAGTATATATGTATAACCAGATTGCAGCTGAACTTACCTCGAGCATTTTCGAAATGGTTGAAATGATGGCATCCCGTCTCACGGAACTCACATTGCGGGAGACAATAGATTCTGTATTCGTTTGCTCTTCGTACCAGGCCACCATTTCATCATTCTTGTCCCACAGATATGCCTGCAAAAAACGTAACAAATTGGTTGTAAGACAGAGGAAAGGGAGCGATTTTGGATATCCTTTTACCTCTGTGGCACCCTTCTCTTCGACTAGCCAGCGTCTGAGCATCTGCTTGGCCTGTCCCACAGAGAGATTGTCCTGGGCGCGCAGGATCTTCTTGATGTAGGCATCCTCCAGCAAGAGGCGGCGCAGACGCCAGTAGAGCCAACGTCTCGAGTCGCGCCATGGCACAATTTCGCTGATGCACTCCTTCTCCAGCATGCGCTCGGGCGTGTCGTGCAAGTCGGCAAAGTGCACCGCCACCGTGTGGTAGACATGCATCAGTACCGCCAGACGAGTCTTGATCTTCTCATCCACCTGGGCGGCCAGCGTCTTATCCCCAGCTGCAGTTGCTTCCTCGTGTTCCTTTCTCAGCTACAGGGAACCCGGAATGGAATAGATTAGTAAAAGAAGAGCAGGCAACAAGTTCAGACGAAACTCACAGCAATTGTGGTCGCATCCAGGCGATTTATCGTCTTGATGAGGTCCTTCTCTTTGTATTTGATTTCCACAATGCCCTCTGGCTCGAGGACACCGCCACGGGCCTCCGGATCCGCATAGGTTTCCATGTAGCGCGGATTGATCAACGAGTCCAGCACAGCCCAGGCTCCGCCACGCAGCTCGGCATTGGGCGGCAGGTAGATGAGCACCGGCTTCTTGTACTCCCGCAGTCCGTCGACGATGTAGGCCCCAAACTTGACGATCTGCTCGTACATGTCCTTCATGCCGCCGGAGAAGCCGCGCCAGTTGGCGAACACAATCAGTGGCAGCTCCTCGTGCCCAAAGTCCTTGATGGCCTGCGCCGTCTTGTAGGAGGAGTCGGGATACCACACCTGACCCGCCTGCTGCAGCGTCTTGGCCTCCGAGTCCAGATTGGCCGGATCAGCGGGCATTTCCACCTCCACAGTCCGCGTCTCCACGGCAATCACACCCACAGGCACACCGCCCAGACGAGCACGTCCCGTGACCACGGTCTTGGCCCACGGGGCCATAATCTCGCTCCACGAATCACGATCAAAGAAGCCATTCTCCCACTCATTCGCATTGGTGGGATTCACCCGACCGGCCAGCATGCAGCGCGGATCGTATGGCGACTTGGTGGGCATAAAATCGACGGGCCGATCGATGCGATCGTTGGGCAAAACGATGGGCAGGTCGCAGCCAATGTAGGCGGGAATGTACGAGAGCCAGTCGAGAATGGTGTACACGCCGTCCAGGTCGATGGCCTCAGTCTTGTGGGTCACGCCATTGTTGTACATAATCTGTGTGCCGCCCAGTTGGTTGTTTGAGGCGTACACCTTGCGACCGAGCAGCTGCAGGGAGAGAAGACACATTAATATCCACCCACGGATTCGGATTCCAAAAGCTTACCTTATTCAGGGCCGCATAGCCCGTGAGTATAATGTGCGAGTTGTCGATCTGGATGACACGCTGGCCCAGACGCACCACATACGAGCCGATGCCGATGGTGCGGCAGGTGACCATCGCAATGGTGACAATCTCATCGTACGCCTGCGACGTTTCGCCGGCAATCAGGCCGGCATACCGTAGATTTTCGACGCCCAGGCCATCGTCCTTGCCAATGATGTCGGTGATTTTGTAGCGCTGCTCGCCCTCATCCTCGATGAGAATGGCACGTACCGAATTGAGATTAGCCACCTGGGCGTAGTCCTCGGTGGTCAGATAGAGGTACTTGAAGCCCTTGTCGGGCTCCTCTGGATCCTCCCAGGCTATCTTGAACATTGCCTTCACCTCCTCGGCCAGTCCAATGCGGGCACCGCTGTTCACCGATATATAGATCTGTGGGAGCGAATATTGCCGGATGAATGATTGCAGCCTGCCAATTGATGCTTGGTGCTTACCCTGGGCACCTTACGCTCGCGCGCCAGCTGCGACGCCTTGGCAAACAGCACATCCTCCTTGATGCCAAAGGAGCCAATCAGGTAGGTCAGATCATTGGCTATCACAATGATCTCGCGCCCATTCGGGTACTCCGGCGTGGCCAGGACAATGCGCCAGGCCACCATGCCACACTGCAAGATCAGAGGGTTAATAAATGGATGGCGATGGGAGTCCAGACATCGAAGGAACCTACATTGTTCTCGCCCGGCAGACGCTGCAACTCGATGAGGGTGTCGCCCTCGAGAACCAGCTCCTTGCACTCGATCAGTATCTTGTCGGGTATGCGTATGTCCACGGAGGGGCGGGCATTGGAGAACTCCTTCCAGTGGCGTTCGGTCATCTGGCGGAACATGTCGGGCACATCGTACACGTAGGTGGTGCCGTTCGACTGCGCCTGGAAGCGCTTCTGCTGCAGAAAGTCTTTGGTCATGTAGGGCGTCGAAATGGGATGGCCGTGCAGGGAGCCCTGCTTGTCTCCGTAGGCCTTGAACTTGATCTGAAACGGCAATCAAAGGCAGGCAATAAGAAACGGGGGAAGGGGACAATCATCTAGTTGACACCTACAATGCCCGTCTCCGGCTCCGTTTGCTCCGTGTACATGGAGATGTCCAGGAAGTATCCAGAATCGTTGGCAATGCAGAGGCGCACCGCTTGGGTGGGCGACTGCGGCGACTGGCGGATGACCATCTTCAGCTCGGCCTGGAGAACGCGCAGCTTCCACAGGCGGGGGCCGTACCGCATGATCATCTTGGTGACGGACTCCTCGATCTTGGCCGGGTCCATGATAACGGTGGGCACGAAATTGAGAAAGATGTGATTGCAGTCGGTGCGTTTGGCGTGCGGATGGGAGAAGGCCACCTCCAGTTCGTCCATGGCCTCCAGCAGCACCCGTTCGCCCTCGTTCTGGAGGTACTCGAAGGAGGCCTCCTTGGTGATCAGGTCCGAGTGGCGGATGATCGAGCGGATGAAGAAACGATAGTCAGTCACCTCCTGCCCCTTCGATACCTTGGCCCTGCCCAGATACAGATGCATCTTCTGGTTGGCCGTCGGCAGGGCCTCCAGGTCGTACGTCTTCATGCGATTCAGCTCCAGATGGAAGGCAGAGGCGGGCTCCAGGTGCCGGTATATGCGATCCTCCTCGAACTTGTCGCGTGCGCGGTACGTAAAGAACTTGGGGAACTGGCGCTTCTTCAGGGCGGCGAACGTTATCCTGCGGATGCGGCGCTGGAAGAGCTCCTCGTTGTGCTCCTTGCAGTAATTCCCAAAGATCTGGGCCATCTGCAGGTCGTCCATCTCTCCGGTCTCCCTCACAGCCACGCTCACAATGTGAATGGGCTCCGTGGACTTGGCCTCCTCGGCGGCATTGGCCCGGGTGACGGGATCCGAGAGCGACACGTTGATGGAGGTGCTGTGCCGCCCGTCCGAAATGGAGTCGGCTGCCTCCACGGCCTCCAGCACCTTGGCATTGACCATTGCGGGCGAGACAAAGTCCTCGAGCAGGTCCAATATCTCGTCCGAGTACATCTCAAAGTGCTCGAACGAATCGAAGGCGGCAATCGCTCCGGTGCGAACGAAAGAGCTGCCCATGGACTCGGCCGCCACCTGGTCCAGCCCCTCGGGCGAGGACATGCGCGAGAAGAGACGATTCGGATGTGCAGTGGGCAGCAGGAACTGGAAATGCACCAGCGGCAGGCCGCCGGACAGCTCCAAGTGCTGCAGGCAGGTCAGCTCGTAGGAGGTGTAGGCACGCCTCACGTACACCTCGAGGGAGGCGTTGCACACGGCTCGGTTCGTGTGGTAGAAGAAATCGTGGAGTATGTCAAAGATCGAGGTCTCCGAGAGGATCAGGCGCTGCAGATTCTCCGGATGGAAGTCGTGGCCGTACATGTCCACGGCGGACAGGAATATCGACTCCATTTGGTTGTGGCGCAGCTCGTAGGCCGGCTGGTGGGCGGCGATCAGTACCTGGCGAGAGCGCAGAGCCACCCGCGAGTGCTCGGCCCTGTTCAGGGATGTCAGCTCGCTGAGGGTGTTGGCCAGCTCGTCGGTGAGGCCCGGCTCATTGGCCCACAGATGGTCGATGAGCAGGGTGACGAGCAGGTTCTTTTTGGCCACTTGCGAGTGCGAGAATATCGTGTTGACCACCGTCAGCATGTCGTCCTTGTGGTGCTCGCGCACCAGGCCCACGCACTTGTCGTAGTGGC